CAGAAGCTCCGTCCACATTTTCAATAAATTCATTATGTCTTCGCACAGGGCTCGTTCATTGTACCTGGAGTTTTGGCTAATTCTTAATTATCAAGGACGTGATTATTAGTGATAATTGGTTATACAGTAACTAGATAATAAGGCACAAAGAGAAAATCCAGCACAAAATAGCTAATTTACCTTCTCAGCGCAGCTCCTGCCGATCGCGCGGGACCCTTTGCATTATCATTAGCTGACTGGGCTCCACCTTGCTTAGCTCGGACTACGTAGCGATGAAATGCTTTATGTGCAACCATTTTATCACTAAACTTGTTGAATTAACATATTGGTACACATAATTCCCTGATAATGGGAGCAGTTACGAAAACATTTAAAAAAATACTTCCATGTAGGGTAAAAACTAACAACGCAATGAGATAGATGAGATAAAGTGGCGAACGCAGAGGAGAGCGGGAGGGCCTCACCCAGGCCTTAGTCTTCGGATTTCAAGAAGTAGGATGCAAACCAATTGAAATAATAACATGTGTTAATTTTTACTATTTAAACTAATTTTACCCGAAAAGTTTCTCAAAAGTTAAAAAAACAACAACTCTCTGGCTATGATCGGATGGGGCGTTCCTGGCTGCTAACCTCAGCTACGCCCTCTCGCGCTACCTTCTAGAATTTTCTGCGCCGCCAGAAGATATAAACGTTTGAGGAATTTTAAGCTCCATTGCAAACATTTTACGGTACATTTATTCCTTATTATACTACTCCTGTCTCAAAAGTCATTTTAACAATATCAAATTCAACAAATTATGCATGTCAGTTAAGCAAGATAACTCAAAAAATTTTGAAAACCTCAAAAAAGGGAAAGAAGTGATGCGTAAAGGTGCAAAAATCAATATTACTTACTTCTTGAATATACCAGCAGCAAAATGACCACCAGCTAATAAAAATATTGCACAATCTAAGGGTCTTGCAAACATTTCCAAGGCGACAGTCGTTTCGCCTGGTCGTAACAGACATCTAAACATGGCTCAAATTACTATCCAAAAGATCTTCCAAAAATGTAAGTTTAACGAAGTTCACTGACCGGTACATCGAAAAGACTTCCTCGTTATGTACAAAATGCACATAACTCGAACTCAGCTTCAGCGGAATATCGTCCTCTTCATCATCAGAGTCCGAGGATGATGACTCAAACTCATCTCCTACATCATGAAGCATTTGACGACTATATCATGTAGTGAATGGTTCTAGTAAGTGTACCTTTCCTTTCTTCCTCTTCCAATTCTTCAAAATCTTCTTCTGCCAATGGGGGGCGGCCTTTGAGAACGCGCTTCACGTTGAACCTTAAAGCAATGACTTGAGAAGCATTATCCGGATGTAAGGCCGCTCATAGATGGTTGTGCGCGTGCGACAAAGCAATAGATGTATCCACTCATGGAAATGTAGTTATTTTCATAACCATTCTGCATTCCCAGCTACGTCCGGCTGGCTTGAACTTAGTTGTCTAGGTTTAAAGTGAATTTCTGATAAAAGTAGCTCGGCTTCTAAGATTCAGTATAAAAATTGCGTTCTAGTAAGTCTAGGCAGTAAAAAAATAACTTTCATACTCTTGCTCACATGCTCACATGCTTACATACTCATTCACTGATTCCCAATACTCGAGAGCGAGAGGTGCAGAAATTCGATAAACAATAAAATCAACTAATTAATCTGTGAATGGTAGATTCGTAATCAGAGTAACAAGTCACCATACACGGATTCTCAGCATCTCAGAGCGAAAAATGAGGAAAATCGATAAATCAATGAAATTGCGGA